ATCAAGATATTACAAACTTGTAGAAAAATGTGATATGCCTGTATTATCATATATCGCGTTGGGGAATCTCCTTCTTACAGATGTGCTTGTACAATTCATAGATAGTATAATTTGTGAAACATAACATCTTCATTTAGTGTTCAATCTGTTTGAGGGAACCCTTGGAGATTGGGTAAATTAGCCAGCAAAGTCATGACTTCTCATGGTAATCAGAATTCCTTGAGATGAGAAAGGAAAATATCCCTAGAGAAAATCATGATTGTTTTTGCTTCTACATGTAGAAAAGCTCTTTTAAATTGAGAGTTCTTCTTATGGTTTCCGCAGCAAGAGGATTAAATATACAATGAGAGACAAATGTTTCTTGAAGTTGTCTCTTCAATTACAGGAATCAATCAAGAAATGAGTGGTGATCAACTAATGGAGATTGTGTATAGAGGTCTGAAGGATAGGAGATTTCTAATTGTCAAAGATGATATATGGAGTACTGAGGCATGTGACTAAATGCGAAGAATATTTTCAAATGATGACAATAGAAGCCGAATTCTATTAATCACTCGGCTCAAGTATGCTGCTGATTATGTTAGATGTCCTGATTTTCCACATCATAGAAAGTCTTTTATAAGTCTTGATGTCCTGATTTTCCACCTTTATTTCAATGCAAGTAGATATTCCAAAACAATTGTTTTATAGTTCAAATTGCTTAAGGTATTGAACGTTATTTTCAATTGAATATGATTTCTCTTGTGTAATACCTCAGTTTTGTATATTTGAGATATATTTCTGCAAGAATTGAGAAATCTACTGACCATAACAATTTTTTGAAGAGAAATGTTTGTTGAATCAGGTAGTAGATATCTGAAAAATGTCAGAGATAAGACATTTTGATATTGGATCGCCACTATATATATATCTAATTCTCTTGCTGCGGAAATCATAAGAAGAACTACCAATTTAAAAGAACTCTTCTACATGTAGAAAGAAAACAATCATGATCTTCTCTAGGGATATTTTCCTTCCTAATCTCAAGGAATTTCGATTATCATGGGAAGTCATGACTTTGCTGGCTAATTTACCCAATTTCCAAAGGTTCCCTAGAACATATTGGACACTAAATGAAGATGTTGTGTTTCACAAATTAAAATATCTACGAATTGTACAAGCACATATTCAAGGAGGAGATTCCCAGTGCGATATATGATAGTACATGCATACCACATTTTTTCTACAAGTTTGTAATATCTTAAAAAGAAAAGAAATTATGTTATGCAATTCAAAGTATAAAATCAACATGACAATGGACTAATAGCATAACATATATAATTAAAATTACCGGTGAACATTACATGATGAACACAACACTTAATACTTACTTCGATTGAATCATAACTGATGAACATTACATGATGAGCACAACACTTAGGATAACTCAAATGAAAAATCAACCATAACACTTAATATAATATTTAAGTTTTTAATTTTATTTTCGACAATTCCATAACACGTGAACTAGGAATGATAGTTGAAGTAAAAAAGAATTAAGCAGGCACTGTCAAAGTGGAGCAAGGAGAAATTTGGAGACATTTTCAATCAATTGGCTATTAGGGAGGAAATTTTGAGGATTAAAGAAGAGTTTTTTTTTTGAAGAATGTCCATATCCAGAAAATAGAGTAGTATTGCAGCATGGTCAAGCTGAATTAAAGCTTTACATTCATTATGAAGAAGAGTATTGGAGGCAGAACTAAGATGCAATGGTTTGAGGATGGAGATTGAAATATCAGATTCTTTCATAGTCTGGTGAAGGGAAGAAGGAAGAGGCTGAAAATTAACAAAATGATGAAAGCAGATGGTTCCTGGGTAGAGGGTGATAAAGAGATTGCAGAAGAGACTGTGTGTGTTTTTAAAGATCAGTTCACCGGGGGAGCTATTAATTCGGAGTTGTCCTTATTACAATATATACATCCTCAAGTAGAACAAGAAGAAAATGATAGCTTGATTGCAATACCACAAGAAGAGGAGATCAGGAAAGTTGTATTTGAGCTTAATGCTCAGAGTGCTTGTGGACCAGATGGGTTTACAAGTCACTTTTATCAAACTTGTTGGGATATTATTGGTACAACTATTGTGAAGTGGTTCATGCTTTCTTTCTGGGTTACTCACTACCTAAGTCTATTACTCATACAAATTTGGTCCTATTACCCAAAAAAAGATATTATTCAATCTTTTTATGATTTTAGGCCAATTACTTTGAGCAATTTTTTTAACAAAATTATTTCAAGACTTATACATGACATGTTGGAAGGGATACTACCAAAACTGATATCTTCTAAGCAATCAAGATTTGTTAAAGGGAGAAATATCACTGAAAATGTATTGTTGGCACAAGAAATAATCTCAGAGATCAGAAAAAGAGGGAAGCCTGCTAATGTGGTCATCAAGTTAGACATGGCTAAAGCTTATGATAGGGTGGACTGAAGTTTCTGATTAGTGTATTGGAGAAAATGGGCTTTGATAATAGGATGTTGGCTATGATTTGGAGGTTGGTAGCCAATAATTGGTACTCTGTACTTGTTAATGGACAGGCTCATGGCTTCTTTCACTCCACTAGAGGGGTAAAACAAAGAGATCCTTTATCTCCTGCACTTTTTATATTATCTGCTGAAGTATTAACTAGGGCTCTAAATCATCTGTTTTACAACAATGAGTTTAAGAGCTTTGGTTTACCCAAATGGAGTGATCAACTAAATTATCTTGCTTATGCAGATGATACCATCATATTCACATTTGCTGACAAAAAATCTATGCAATTAATCATGGAAACTCTTCAATTGTATGAAGCTCAATTAGGCCAACTTATTAATAAAGGAAAGAGTCTATTTTACATGTTCAATAAGACTGCACATGTCATACTTCAGGAAGTGGAGGATATTACTGGATTTATGAGAGAAAACTTTCCATTGACTTATCTTGGTTGTCCCATTGAGCATGCTAAGAAGAAGAAGGTACATTACTCAGAACTAATCAAGAAGATTCAAAGAAAATTGCAGGTGTGGAAGGGGAGGTTGTTATCATTTGGAGGAAAAGCAGTGTTGATTAATCATGTATTGTAAAGCATTCCTATATACTTGCTATCTGCTATTTTCCCACCAAAATGTGTTACACAAGATATACATAGGATTTTTGCAAAATTCCTATGGAATTCCAAGGAGGAAGGGAGGGCTAAACACTGGATTGCTTTGAATGATATATGTTTACCAAAGAATGAAGGGGGGCTTGGTTTTAGATCTCCATTTTATGTTTCAAAGGCGCTCTTTGCTAAATTATAGTGGAATTTTAGAACAACCAACACATTATGGTCTAACTTCATGTGGAACAAGTATTGCAAAATACACATGCCACAAGTAGTATAATGGAGGTATGTAAACTTATGCTACATGCTAAAGATTTCATTGATTAGGAAATTTGGTGGGAACCAAGAAATGGTCAGTGTAGTGTTTGGTTTGATAATTGGACACAGGTTGGGGGTATTACACTACTACTTGCCTATTAACCATGATTATGGTCAATTAGAGGAGGTGCAACCGTTAATGCTAGTGGAGGGATGGAGTAACACCTTGCTACATGAGGATTTGCCAGAAGAAGTTAGTAATCACATCACTTCAAATTTGGGAAGAATACAAAGATCTGATGAAAGAGACAAGCCATGGTGGATGCCTACTAGTACTGGTAAATTCTCTGTTGGTAGTTCTTGTGAGTTAATGAGAAGGAAAATGATAAAGTTGATAAAATCATATATATATATATGGGAGAAAGGGTTGCCTTTTAAAATCTCATTTTTGATATGGAGACTATGGCATATGAGAATTCCAATAGGAGAGGTGCTGGTGAGAATGAGAATTGTCAACTCTGTCAAGTGTTGTATCTGCAACACCAATGCAGAGGAGACATGTGATCATCTCTTTCCTCATTGCCCCACAACATACTGTTTATGGAGATAATTTGCAGAGGCTGTAGGTATTCAAGGCCCAATGGTTCAACTAAGACATGTGATACAATTATGGTGGTAATCTGACTGTGGAATCAAGTTGAAACCAATGTTACATGTTGTTCCCATTTTCATTATTTGGCAGTTATGGAAGAAAAGGAATATCGTTAAGCATGGAGGATTCATGTTGACTCATAACATGATTAGGGAGATTAACAAGCATCTGTATCTCTTTGCCAAAAATAGATATCCATGGCTGAAAAATCTCCCTAATACATGGCCTATGATAGTCAAATTATTGGAAGAATATTCACCACTAGTATGTTGTAGAGTGGTGTATTGGGTGCATCCTCTCGTAGGAAGATATAAATGCAATACTGATGGCACTAGTAAAAGGAAATCCTGGGCCTAGTTCTACAACTTTTTGTATTCGAAATGAAGAAGGCAACTTAATATTTGTAGAAGCTAATGTTATTGAAGCATGTTATGCTATAGTTGCAGACGTGAAGACATTCAAGGCAGGATTGAAGTATTTTATAGAGAATGACTTGCTACCTATAATCATGGAAATTGATTCATTCATTATTAAAAAAGTATTGGATGGAGTATGGGAAGTTCCATGGTCAATCTCAGTCGACATACAATGCATAAAATTATTAATGGAGAAAGGAGAGGTGGAGGTGGTTCACACATACAGAGAATGAAACAAATTGGCAGATTATTTAGCTAACCACATTGTTCATTTTGCAGGTACTAATGTCATTCAATTTAATAGTACACATGAACTACCACAACTAGCAAGGAACATCTTACTGACGGAACAAAGAAAAATCCCACATATACGGATTAAGAAAATGCAAAACAAGGGTTTCAGCACATAACCAAGGAATTAAGTATTATAATGACAAGTCAGCGGGAAATGAACATCAGATGCAAATAAAAGAGATAAGGTAACACCGAAGTCGGTTTCACATATCGATTGCTGGTAACAAATTGGGGACAGTTGAATCGGAAATACCTCTTGGAGATGGATCTCTTCACAGTGGTATCAGTTCTTCGGAGCTCATTCTGCGTAGAAGGAAAGATTCAAGAGGATTTATCACCAAGGGTGATTCTTGACGAAGATTGCTGGGTCGAGGCTACAAGCTCCTAGATCTGCTGTTGGGACCCATTTTGAGCTGAAGAAGTCTTTAAGGAGATTGATTCCATGGCACTTGTGAGATGTTAAGTGTATTTATTGAATTCACTCAAGCTCAACAATACTGGTTCAACAACAATTTAAAGAATTTGGGGCCATTTCGGAGGAGCATAGATGAGCATTCTGAATGGAGAAATGTTCTTGGACAGCAGCGTTTGATTACTTTCCCTTTTTAGCTTTTATTTTTTGTTGTTAGCTGATAGTCCCAGGTCACTTTTGGGCCTGGGTTATTCCTGTATTATTTCATTTTAAGGAATAAATGGGCTATGCCCAATGTTGAATTAAAAAAAAATGCACACAATACATTCACATTGCATTTCACCATTATGGCAATTATAAATATCATGCCATCAAATTACCTCAAATTCCAACAATCAAATTGGAAAATTAACAAGATAATATTGATGGCTTCTTCTTCCCCTCCTCCTCTTTTTTCTTTTGCGCAACACTAGTCTCATGCTTAATCGTTTCTTCCTTACTAGCAATGATATATATATATATATATATATATACTTTGACATAACAAAGTGTAAGCGTCTAAAGTTTCAATCCTGAAATACAGTAAACAGGAAAAGAAAAATAGC